CCGAGGTGTGCAAAGCATCCGGACAGAAGCGTGAATCCAGTTTAGTTGGTGTCCATTGGTTCTTCCCGGGAAAAGCGCTTTTCACTCCCCGCTCCACGTCATCTGAGCCCGGACAGAACCGGAGCTTCTCCTGCTGGTTCGGGACTCCGGTTTGGATCTAGTCCGACTGTATTTCTCACACTAGACTAAAAGCAGGACATTTTTTAAAGGTGAATCAATTGAATGGGCGATTACCTATTGCCATAAAATTATTTGGTTAATTAAAGCCTAAAATAACAAATGCTGGTTCCTACATGATCACGGGGAACACGGGGACCTCTGTGCAGGTCCTGAACAGAAGTACACTCCCCCATTTTTGACTCACTCTGGAGCCACACGTTCGCACACTGGTTCTTGCTCTGATCTTTGTGTGTTACATTCTCTTTATTGGCCATTGTTGGTAAAATAATTAGAAAATGAATCGCGGCTGCGTCTGGACAACAATCTGTTACTGCGCTGGAGTCGTACAGCGCGTCATTACAGGCAAAGGAGACGCGTTTCTCCCATGATGCATCTAGAATAGTTTCGTTTGACCTGCTGTCTGTGGTTTGGACCCGGGTTCACGTTCACACCAGAAGAACCGCACCAAAGTTGGTCAAATACTGTCGGTGTGAAAGCACCTAATACAGGTCAAGGCTCACTGATGAGCATCTTCAATCTATCCTGAGGATCTGCTTCCTCCTGCAAGCCAAATATCTCTCAGCTGTACAAGATGAAGCGTAGCCAGGTTTCAAACCAGCAAGGAGAAGGTAAAAGAAGAAGAGTAGACGTATTAGTTTAAACTTGCGTTCTAAAATACATTTTCATGTTCTGAACTGTTATTAAAGATTAAGAAAGTGTGTTGCATGTTGTTCTTTCTCTCTCTTTTTTCCCCGTGCAACCGCTATTTATCGAATACTCAATGCGGCCCAGCCTCACTCAGACTTTATCTAATGTGGCCCCCAGGTAATTTGAGTTTGAGACCCCTGCTCTAGACTCTCTAGAGTCTCTGGAGTAGGGATGGGCATGATTAGTCGATTAATCGATAATTGATCATTAAGAATTTCATCGATTACGTAAATTTTAATCGACAAACCGAACGCAGGTTGCTGTGCGTAGCGTGACCAAACGGGGGTCCGTACAAGTAGCTCTCAGCACTCAGAAGGAGCGAGACACAAACAGTGGGTCAGTCTGTAACGTACCGAAGTGCATATGCGTATTTAACCAGGATTTGTACAAGAAATTCTACGCTTTCCGGTCCGGTCGGGACAAGTGTGAGTCCATGTGCACAGTGGATAAAGCAGCACATATGTTTCTGTGTCCAGTGGGAAAAAGTTTTTCCAGGTGAGAGTCGCTCAATGTGGATGACGAGGCCCCGCCCCCCTCCCCCCGTACGCTGTCCTGGTTTTGACAAACACAAATCTGGTCACACTGACCTGTATTCACCTGAGTCATGTCTTTTAATCCAACACAAGTTGAACCACATCAGCGACACAAGAGCTGGAGTTTTATCTTCACTTAGTTTATGTAAATTAGTGATGTGGTTTTAAGTTTTGTTTCTGTGAGATTTGAACAAAACTGAATTAAACACATTATAATGTCAAACAGCTGATGTGGATCTAGAGTCGTTATGTTTATATGTCGTAAAGTTGATTTATTGATGCAGATTAGTGCAGATGTAATAATAATGATGATCATTTTAATAGAAAAACCTTCATGATTAATCGATAATCGATTCGTTAATTCTTCTGACGATTGATTAAAAACATTTCATCGAATGCCCATCCCTACTCTGGACTTTTTGGACTCTCTGGACTCTGGACTCTCTGGACTCTCTGGAGTCTCTGGTCTCTCTGGACTCTCTGGACTCTCTGGACTCTCTGGACTCTCTCTGGTCTCTCTGGACTCTCTGGACTCTCTGGTCTCTCTGGACTCTCTCTGGTCTCTTTGGACTCTCTGGACTCTCTCTGGACTCTCTGGACTCTTTGGACTCTCTCAACTCTCTGGACTCTCTGGACTCTGGTCTCTCTGGACTCGCTGGACTCTGGTCTCTCTGAACTCTCTAGTCTCTCTGGACTCTCTGGACTCTGGTCTCTCTTGACTCGGACTCTCTGACATTCCTCTGGACTCTCTGGACATTCTCTGGACTCTCTGGTCTCTCTGGACTCTCTGGAATTCTCTGGTCTTCTGGACTCTCTGGACTCTCTGGATTCTGACTCTCTGGTCTCTCTGGTCTCTCTGGACTCTCTGGACCTCTCTGGATCTGATCTCTGGATCCTCTGGTCTCTCTGGACTCTCTGGACTCTCTGGATCTGGACTCTCTCTGGCTCTGGACTCTGGACTCTCTGGACTCTCTGGACTCTCTGGACTCTCTGGATCTCTCTGGACTCTCTGGACTCTCTCTGGAACTCTCTCTCTGGACTCTCTGGACATTCTCTGGACTCTCTGGACTCTCTGGACTCTCTGGACTCTCTGGTCTCTGGTCTCTCTGGACTCTCTGTCTCTCTGGACTCTCTGGACTCTCTGGACCTCTGGACTCTCTGGACTCTCTGGACTCTCTGGACTCTTTCTCTCTGGACTCTCTGGACTCTCTGGACTCTCTGGTCTGGTCTCTCTGGACTCTAGTCTCTCTCTCTCTCTGGACTTCTCTGGACTCTTTGGACTCTCTCAACTCTCTGGACTCTCTGGACTCTGGTCTCTCTGGACTCTCTGGACTCTCTGGTCTCTCTGGACTCTCTTAGTCTCTCTGGACTCTCTGGACTCTGGTCTCTCTTGACTCTGGACTCTCTGGACATTCTCTGGACTCTCTGGACTCTGGTCTCTCTGGTCTCTCTGGACTCTCTGGTCTCTCTGGATCTCTCTCCTCTGGACACTCTGGACTCTCTCTCTGGTCTCTCTGGACTCTCTGGTCTCTCTCTGGACTCTCTCTCTGGACTCTCTGGACTCTCTGGACTCTCTCTGGACTCTCTGGACTCTCTCTGGACTCTCTGGTCTCTCTGGACTCTCTGGACTCTCTGGACTCTCTGGACTCTCTGGACTCTCTCTCTGGACTCTCTGGACTCTCTCTGGACTCTCTCTGGATCTCTCTCTCTCTGGACTCTCTGGTCTGGACTGGACTCTCTGGACTCTCTGGACTCTCTGGACTCTCTGGATCTGGTCTCTCTGGACTCTCTCTCTGGTCTCTCTGGATCTCTCTCTCTGGACTCTCTGGACTCTCTGGACTCTCTGGACTCTCTGGACTCTCTGGACTCTCTCTCTGGTCTCTCTGGACTCTCTGGTCTCTCTCTCTCTGGACTCTCTGGACTCTCTGGACTCTCTGGACTCTGGCTCTCTCTCTCTGGGACTCTCTGGAGTCTCTCTGGAACTCTCTCTGGACTCTGGACTCTCTGGACTCTCTGGACTCTCTGGACTCTCTGGACTCTCTGGACTCTCTGGTCTCTCTGGACTCTCTCTCTCTCTGGACTCTCTGGATTCTCTCTCTCTGGACTCTCTCTGGACTCTCTGGACTCTCTGGACTCTGGTCTCTCTGGACTCTCTGGACTCTCTGGTCTCTCTGGACTCTCTGGACTCTCTGGACTCTCTGGACTCTCTGGTCTCTCTCTCTGGACTCTCTGGACTCTTCTCTCTGGACTCTCTCTGGACTCTCTCTCTCTGGACTCTCTGGTCTCTCTCTGGACTCTCTGGACTCTCTGGACTCTCTCTGGACTCTCTGGACTCTCTGGACTCTCTGGACTCTCTGGACTCTCTGGACTCTCTGGACTCTCTCTCTGGTCTCTCTGGACTCTCTGGACTCTCTCTGGTCTCTCTGGACTCTCTGGACTCTCTGGACTCTCTCTCTCTGGACTCTCTGGACTCTCTGGACTCTCTGGACTCTCTGGACTCTCTGGACTCTCTGGTCTCTCTGGTCTCTCTGGACTCTCTCTCTCTGGACTCTCTGGACTCTGGACTCTCTGGACTCTCTGGACTCTCTGGACTCTCTGGACTTCTCTCTGGACTCTCTGGACTCTCTGGACTCTCTCTCTCTGGACTCTCTCTCTCTGGACTCTCTGGTCTCTCTGGACTCTCTCTCTGGACTCTCTCTCTCTGGACTCTCTGGACTCTCTCTGGACTCTCTGGACTCTCTCTGGACTCTCTGGACTCTCTGGACTCTCTGGACTCTCTGGACTCTCTGGACTCTCTGGTCTCTCTGGACTCTCTCTCTCTGGACTCTCTGGACTCTCTGGTCTCTCTGGACTCTCTGGCTCTCTCTCTCTCTGGACTCTCTGGACTCTGGACTCTCTGGACTCTCTGGACTCTCTGGACTCTCTGGTCTCTCTGGACTCTCTCTCTCTGGACTCTCTGGACTCTCTCTCTGGACTCTGGACTCTCTGGACTCTCTCTCTGGACTCTCTGGACTCTCTCTCTGGACTCTCTCTCTCTGGACTCTCTGGACTCTCTGGACTCTCTCGTCTCTCTGGACTCTCTGGACTCTGGACTCTCTGGACTCTCTCTGGACTCTGGACTCTCTGGACTCTCTTGTCTCTCTGGACTCTCTGGACTCTCTCTGGACTCTCTGGACTCTGGACTCTCTGGACTCTCTGGACTCTCTCTCTCTGGACTCTCTGGACTCTCTGGACTCTCTCTCTGGACTCTCTGGACTCTCTGGACTCTCTGGTCTCTCTGGACTCTCTGGACTCTGGACTCTCTGGTCTCTCTGGACTCTCTGGACTCTAGACTCTCTGGTGGGACCTTCTTGTCCGCTGTGTCAGGATCTCTTTGGTGAACCTTGAAGACCAGCGTGGTCTTTTTCTCCTCGGCCGTACAGGAGCAGGAGGTTTTTTCTCTGGGTTTGGATCCTGATCCTGGTTTCAGGAGGAACAACCAGATACAAACCTGAAACATCACTATAGGGACATTTATTATATTTATCACCACCAAAGTCTAGTGTTTCAGTCCTGCTTCAGTCCTGGTTCTGACCCGGTCTTGTTGGTTCTGGTCCACAGCTCGTAAACACACCAAACAGGACTCAACGATGAATGAGGAGTGGAAGAGCATGTTTGGATCCCAAGAACCGACCTCCACCTCTGCTACAGTAAGACCTGGTTTAGTCCTGGTTTAGTCCTGGTTTAGTCCTGGTTTAGTCCTGGTTTAGTCCTGATTTAGTCCTGGTTTAGACCTGGTCTAGTCCTGGTTTAGTCCTGGTCTAGTCCTGGTTCAGTCCTGGTTCGGTCCTGGTCTAGTCCTGGTTCGGTCCTGGTCTGGGTCTAGTCCTGGTCCTGGTCTGGTCCTGGTCTGGGTCTGGGTCCAGTCCTGGTCCTGATCTAGTCCTGGTCCTGGTCTAGTCCTGGTCTAGTCCTGGTCTAGTCCTGGTCTAGTCCTGGTTCGGTCCTGGTCTAGTCCTGGTCCTGGTCTAGTCCTGGTCTAGTCCTGGTTCGGTCCTGGTCTAGTCCTGGTCCTGGTCTAGTCCTGGTCTAGTTCTGGTCTAGTCCTGGTTCGGTCCTGGTCTAGTCTTGGTCCTGGTCTAGTCCTGGTCTGGTCTCAGCCCTCAGAGGTGTGTCAGAAGCGTTCGTCGGCTCCGCCCTCGATCCCTGTGGTCCAGTCCTGGTCCGGTCCGGGTTTTCAGAGGAGGTTCCACAGCTGCAGGTCTGATCTTCAGACTCTGGTGCAGCTGAAGCGAGAACAGAGCAGCGCCGAGAGGATGGCCAAGCACCTGCTGGAGAGCGCCGAGTGGGAGAGCCGCCCGCCGCCGCCAGGTACTCACACCCTCGCCGGGTACTCACAACACCGCCAGGTCCCCACACACCACCTCCGAGTACTCACACACCACCGCCGAGTACTCACAACACCGCCAGGTCCCCACACACCACCTCCGAGTACTCACACACCACCCCCGAGTACTCACAACACCTCCAGGTCCCCACACACCACCTCCGAGAACTCACACACCACCGCCGAGTACTCACAACACCGCCAGGTCCCCACACACCACCTCCGAGTACTCACACCGCCCCCTGGTTCTCACACACCACCTTCGAGTACTCACACACCACTGCTGAGTACTCACAATACCGCCAGGTCTCCACACACCACCTCCGAGTACTCACACACCACCATGTATGTCTGTGTGTGCAGGGTGGCATCCTAAAGGTCTTCTGGTCGCTCACCTTCACGAGCACAAAGCCGCCGTCAACAGGATCCGAGTCTCAGACGAACACTCCATCTTCGCCACGGCCTCCAACGACGGAACCGTCAAAGTGTGGGACAGCCAGAAGATGGAGGGCAAGACCACCACCACCAGGTACTCACTGCTACCATCAGGTACTCACCACTACCACCAGGTACTCACTACTACCATCAGGTACTCACCACTACCACCAGGTACTCACTACTACCACCACCAGGTACTCACCGCTACCATCAGGTACTCACCACTACCACCAGGTACTCACCAATACCACCAGGTACTCACTACTACCATCAGGTACTCACCACTACCACCAGGTACTCACTACCACCACCAGGTACTCACTACCACCACCAGGTACTCACTACCACCACCAGGTACTCACCGCTACCATCAGGTACTCACCACTACCACCACCAGGTACTCACCACTACCACCAGGTACTCACCAATACCACCAGGTACTCACTAGAGCCCGACCGATATATCGGCTGGCCGATATTATCGGCCAATATGGGCACCTGGAGACATATCGGCTATCGGCCGATATGCTTGCTGATATGGGCCGATATTTCATGTGGGCATGTTATACCTCGTTATAAAGCTTAGACTCTCTACATTCTGTTCATTTAATCCAATTTACAGACAGATAAATGTCCTCATATGTGGCTCCACATCAGTATTTATCTGCGGTGTAATTTGTCTGTGTCTGTGTCGTACTGTCCCTGAACACACCACAGAGTCACGTCACTTCACTCACGTGTGTTTGTTTACACCCGCAGACGTGCGCAACATTGAGATTATTTTCTTTTTCGGACAATCGGTTTGAGTCTGGATTAAAAGGACTTTTATTAGTGCAGATTTGTGATGTGGGAGGAGCCTGTGTGATGTGGGAGGAGCCTGTGTGAGCGGTTAGGGTTGGAAATACATCGACTTTCAAGCTAGTTTAGGTTTTGTTAGCGGTTAGCTGCTGTAGCTCTCACACATAAACAGGCTGTTTTCTATTGGTCTATTGTAAAGTGACTATATTGGCCGTATACATGTTACTGGACCAGCATTGATATGTAAATGAGCTGTGAATAGACGTGTGAATGATCCACATTTATGCATATAATTAACTACCGCGGTGCGCAGCATTTACGGCTAAAGGCTAATAGCGATAGTTTACTAGCTAGTAGTGATGGGTCGGTCGCGATCGAAGCGGCTCTTAGAGCGAACAACGAGAGCCTGCTTCTTATTGGGAGTCGTGTTTTCTCATTTTCTCACTTTTTCTCTTCATGCCGCATGTCGACCTGTAGTTTGACAGCAGCAGCGGCTAAAAACGAAACTTTCAGAAATCTGCGTGTGCATAGGATAAAAAAAAGTGCGTATTTGGCTGCAGTTCAGCATAAAATGAATAAACCAGGACTAATCTTGGGCTGGAGTGCAGGAGAGAGATAGAAACCGAGTCCCGACACTCAGTCCTGGTTCAGTTCTGGTTTAGTCCTGTTTTACACATGGTTTAAATCTGTTTTAGTCCTGGTTTAGTCCTTTTTCAGTCCTGGTTCAGTTCTGGTTTAGTCCTGTTTTACACATGGTTTAAATCTGTTTTAGTCCTGGTTTAGTCCTTTTTCAGTCCTGGTTCAGTTCTGGTTTAGTCCTGCTTGCAACAAAACAATCTCAAGAGTCGCTTGGGAGCCAAAAGAGCCAGCTGCTTTAGTGAGCCGAGCCAAAAGAGCCGGTTCTGTTAAAAGAACTGGAATCCCCATCACTAGTGCCTAGAATGTGATGCAAAAATGCCATTAGGCCAAACTACTGTCTGTAAATATGATGTAAAGAGTCAAAATAACAATAAATGTTGCCTAAATAAACCCAATTTAAAATCCACCAGAGCCAAACCTAAGTTTTTTAATCAATTCAAGATTTACAGTGAATTTTTACATCACTAAATATATCGGTGATTATATCGGCAGCTCCAACTCCCATTATATCGGTTTCATATCGGCCACAACAAAATCCATATCGGTCGGGCTCTAGTACTCACTACTACCACCAGGTACTCACTACTACCACCAGGTACTCACCTCTACCACCAGATACTCACCACTACCACCACCAGGTACTCACCACTACCACCAGGTACTCACTACTACCATCAGGTACTCACTACTACCACCAGGTACTCACCTCTACCACCAGATATTCACCACTACCACCACCAGGTACTCACCACTACCACCAGGTACTCACCAATACCACCAGGTACTCACTACTACCATCAGGTACTCACTACTACCACCAGGTACTCACTACGACCACCAGGTACTCACCTCTACCACCAGATATTCACCACTACCACCACCAGGTACTCACCACTACCACCAGGTACTCACCAATACCACCAGGTACTCACTACTACCATCAGGTACTCACTACTACCACCAGGTACTCACCACTACCACCAGGTACTCACTACTACCACCACCAGGTACTCACCACTACCATCAGGTACTCACCACTACCACCAGGTACTCACTACTACCACCACCAGGTACTCACCGCTACCATCAGGTACTCACTACTACCACCACCAGGTACTCACCGCTACCATCAGGTACTCACCACTACCACCACCAGGTACCACTACCACCAGTACTCACCACTACCACCACCAGGTACTCACCAACTACCACCAGGTACTCACTACTACCACCAGGTACTCACCACTACCACCAGGTACTCACTACTACCACCAGGTACTCACCACTACCACCAGGTACCACCTCTACCATCAGGTACTCACCACTACCACCAGGTACTCACCACTACACCCACCAGGTTACTCACCACTACCACCAGGTACTCACTACTACCACCAGGTACTCACCACTACCATCAGGTACTCACCGCTACCATCAGGTACTCACCGCTACCACCAGGTACTCACCGCTACCACCAGGTACTCACCGCTACCACCAGGTACTCACCAATACCCCCACCAGGTACTCACCATTACCACCAGGTACTCACTACTACCACCAGGTACTCACCACTACCACCAGGTACTCACTACTACCACCAGGTACTCACCACTACCACCAGGTACTCACCACTACCATCAGGTACTCACCACTACCACCAGGTACTCACTACTACCATCAGGTACTCACCACTACCCCCAGGTACTCACTACTACCACCACCAGGTACTCATCGCTACCATCAGGTACTCACTACTACCACCACCAGGTACTACTCACCAAGGTACTCACCACTACCACCAGGTACTCACTACTACCACCAGGTACTCACCAATACCACCAGGTACTCACTACTACCACCAGGTACCACCAGTACTCACCACTACCACCAGGTACTCACTACTACCATCAGGTACTACTCACTACTACCACCAGGTACTCACCACTACCACAGGTACTCACTACTACCATCAGGTACTCACTACTACCACCAGGTACACCTCACTACTACCACCAGGTACTCACCTCTACCACCACCAGGTACTCACTACTACCACAGGTACCACTACCACCAGGTACTCACCACCACACCATACCACCAGGTACCACCACTCACCACTACCACCAGGTACTCACTACTACCATCAGGTACTCACCACTACCCCCAGGTACTCACTACTACCACCACCAGGTACTCATCGCTACCATCAGGTACTCACTACTACCACCACCAGGTACTCACCGCTACCATCAGGTACTCACCACTACCACCAGGTACTCACCACTACCACCAGGTACTCACCAATACCACCAGGTACTCACTACTACCACCAGGTACTCACCACTACCACCAGGTACTCACTACTACCATCAGGTACTCACTACTACCACCAGGTACTCACCACTACCACCAGGTACTCACTACTACCATCAGGTACTCACTACTACCACCAGGTACTCACTACTACCACCAGGTACTCACCTCTACCACCAGGTACTCACCAATACCACCAGGTACTCACTACTACCACCAGGTACTCACCACTACCACCAGGTACTCACCACTACCACCAGGTACTCACTACTACCACCAGGTACTCACCACTACCACCAGGTACTCACCTCTACCATCAGGTACTCACCACTACCACCAGGTACTCACCACTACCACCACCAGGTACTCACCACTACCACCAGGTACTCACTACTACCACCAGGTACTCACCACTACCATCAGGTACTCACCGCTACCATCAGGTACTCACCGCTACCACCAGGTACTCACCGCTACCACCAGGTACTCACCGCTACCACCAGGTACTCACCAATACCCACCACAGGACTCACCACTACCACCAGGTACTCACTACTACCACCAGGTACTCACCACTACCACCAGGTACTCCACTACCACCACCAGGTACTCACCACTACCACCAGGTACTCACCACTACCATCAGGTACTCACCACTACCACCAGGTACTCACTACTACCATCAGGTACTCACCACTACCCCCAGGTACTCACTACTACCACCACCAGGTACTCATCGCTACCATCAGGTACTCACTACTACCACCACCAGGTACTCACCGCTACCATCAGGTACTCACCACTACCACCAGGTACTCACCACTACCACCAGGTACTCACCAACTACCACCAGGTACTCACACTACCACCAGTACTCACCAGTACTACCACACTACCATCATACTACTCAGGTACTCACCAACTACCACCAGGTACTCACTACTACCACCAGGTACTCACTACTACCACCAGGTACTACTCACTCACTACTACCACCAGGTACTCACTACTACCAGGTACCACCACTACTACCACCAGGTACCAATACTCACTACTACCACCAGGTACTCACCACTACCACCTGGTACTCACCACTACCACCAGGTACTCACTACTACCTTCATGTACTCACTACTACCACCAGGTACTCACTACTACCAAAAGGTACTCACTACTACCACCAGGTACTCACCTCTACCATCAGGTACTCACCACTACCACCAGGTACTCACCACTACCACCACCAGGTACTCACCACTACCACCAGGTACTCACTACTACCACCAGGTACTCACCACTACCATCAGGTACTCACCGCTACCATCAGGTACTCACCGCTACCACCAGGTACTCACCGCTACCACCAGGTACTCACCAATACCCCCACCAGGTACTCACCATTACCACCAGGTACTCACTACTACCACCACTACTCACCACTAACCACCAGGTACTCACCACTACCACCAGGTACTCACCACTACCATCAGGTACTCACCACTACCACCACCAGGTACTCACCACTACCACCAGGTACTCACTACTACCACCAGGTACTCACTACTACTAAAAGGTACTCACCGCTACCACCAGGTACTCACTACAACCACCAGGTATGCACTACTACCAAAAGGTACTCACTACTACCACCAGGTACTCACCACTACCACCAGGTACTCACTACTACCATCAGGTACTCACCACTACCACCAGGTACTCACTACTACCACCAGGTACGCTCCACTACCACCAGGTACTCACTACTACCATCAGGTACTCACTACTACCACCAGGTACTCACTATTACCACCAGGTACTCACTATTACCACCAGGTACTCACCACTACCACCACCAGGTACTCACTACCACCACCAGGTACTCACTACTACCATCAGGTACTCACTACTACCACCAGGTACTCACTATTACCACCAGGTACTCACCACTACCATCAGGTACTCACTACTACCACCACCAGGTACTCATGTGACGGCCCTGTTGTCCCTCAGGTCGTCCTCACGTCCTCTCTGTGTCCCTCAGGTCGTCCTCTCTGTGTCCCTCAGGTTGTACTCTCTGTCGTCCCTCAGGTCATCCTCTCTGTCGTCCCTCAGGTCGTCCTCACGTCCTCTCTGTGTCCCTCAGGTCGTCCTCTCTGTCCTCCCTCAGGTCGTCCTCTCTGTGTCCCTCAGGTCGTCCTCTCTGTCCTCTGTGTCCCTCAGGTCGGTCCTGACGTACGCTCGACTCGGTGGACATGTGAAGACTCTGTCGTTCTGTCAGGGGTCTCATTATCTCGCCGTCGCCTCCGACAACGGCGCCGTCCAGCTCCTCGCCATCGAAGCCAACAAACCGCCCAAGTCCCCCAAAGTCCAGCCCTTCCAGACCAGGTCAGACCAGGACCAGACCTGGACCAGACAAGGACTAAACCAGGACTGAACCGGGACTGAACCGGGACTAAACCGGGACTAAACTGGGACTAAACTGGGACTAAACTGGGACTATACCGGGACTAAACCAGGACTGAACCAGGACTGAACCAGGACTGAACCAGGACTAAACCAGGACTAAACCAGGACTGAACCAGGACTGAACCAGGACTGGTGGTTGTGTGTCGTGGTCGTGTGTCGTAGTTGTGTGTCGTGTCTCATGTGTCTTGTGTGTCGTGTGTCGTGTCTCCAGGACGCTGGACCTGTCGGAGGAGGGCTGCGTGGTCGTGTGTCATGTGTCGTGGTTGTGTGTCGCGGTCGTGTGTCGTGGTTGTGTGTCGTGTGTCACGGTTGTGTGTCGTGTCTTGTGTGTCGTGTCTCATGTGTCATGTGTTTCGTGTCTTGTGTGTCGTGTCTCATGTGTCTCGGTCCTGTGGCTCCAGGACGCTGGACCTGTCGGAGGAGGGCTGCGTGGTCGTGTGTCGTGTGTCATGTGTCGTGGTTGTGTGTCGTGTCTTGTGTGTCATGTCTCATGTGTCGTGGTTGTGTGTCGTGTCTTGTGTGTCGTGTGTTGTGGTCGTGTGTCGTGTCTCATGTGTCGTGTCTTGTGTGTCGTGTCTCATGTGTCGTGTGTTATGTCTCATGTGTCGTGTGTCGTGGTCGTGTGTCGTGTGTTGTGGTCGTGTGTCGTGTCTCATGTGTCGTGTCTCATGTGTCGTGTGTCGTTGTCGTGTATCGTGGTCGTGTGTCGTGTCTCATGTGTCGTGTGTTGTGGTCGTGTGTCGTGTCTCATGTGTCGTGTGTTGTGGTCGTGTGTCGTGGTCGTGTGTGTCGTGTCTTGTGTGTCGTGTCTCATGTGTCGTGTGTTATGTGTCGTGTCTTGTGTGTGTCGGTGTGTGTGGTCGTGTGTCGTGTCTCATGTGTCGTGTGTCGTGGTCGTGTGTTGTGGTCGTGTGTCGTGTTTCATGTGTCGTGTGTCGTGGTCGTGTGTCGTGGTCGTGTGTCATGTCTCATGTGTCGTGTCTCATGTGTCGTGTGTCGTTGTCGTGTATCGTGGTCGTGTGTCGTGTCTCATGTGTCGTGTGTTGTGGTCGTGTGTCGTGTGTCGTGGTCGTGTGTCGTGTCTCATGTGTCGTGTGTCGTGTCTTGTGTGTCGTGTCTCATGTGTCGTGTGTTATGTGTCGTGTCTTGTGTGTCGTGTGTTGTGGTCGTGTGTCATGTCTCATGTGTCGTGTCTTGTGTGTCGTGTCTCATGTGTCGTGTGTTATGTGTCGTGTCTTGTGTGTCGTGTGTTGTGGTCGTGTGTCGTGTCTCATGTGTCGTGTCTTGTGTGTCGTGTCTCATGTGTCGTGTGTCGTTGTCGTGTATCGTGGTCGTGTGTCGTGTCTCATGTGTCGTGTGTCGTGTGTCGTGTGTCGTGGTCGTGTGTCGTGTCTCATGTCTCGTGTGTCGTGTCTTGTGTGTCGTGTCTCATGTGTCGTGTGTTATGTGTCGTGTCTTGTGTGTCGTGTGTTGTGGTCGTGTGTCATGTCTCATGTGTCGTGTCTTGTGTGTCGTGTCTCATGTGTCTCGGTCGTGTGTCTCCAGGACGCTGGACCTGTCGGAGGAGGGCTGCGTGGTGGACCTGCATCACTTTAACTCGGGGGCCCAGTCGGTGCTGGCGTACGCCACAGTGAACGGATCCCTCGTGGGGTGGGACCTGCGTCAAGGGACCAACGCCTGGACCCTGAAACACGACCTGAGGCTCGGACTCATCACCTCCTTCTGCGTCGACATGCACCAGTGCTGGCTCTGCCTGGGTACGAGGGGGCGGGGACACGTACGGGGGGAGGGGCTCAGGGAAACGGCCAATGATTAAAGCTTTGAGACACATTGCCCTGTGACCTGTGACCTGTGACCTTTCCTCGCCGCCGCAGGCACGAGCAGCGGCACCATGGCCTGCTGGGACATGAGGTTCCAACTGCCCATCTCTAACCACGCCCACCCGGCCCGCGCCCGCGTCCGCAGACTCCTCATGCACCCGCTGTACCAGTCCTCTGTGATCGCAGGTACCACACTGGGTCTAGTCCTGGTTTAGTCCTGGTGTAGTCCTGGTTTAGTCCTGGTGTAGTCCTGGTGTAGTCCTGGTGTAGTCCTGGTTTAGTCCTGGTGTAGTCCTGGTGTAGTCCTGGTGTAGTCCTGGTTGAGTCCTGGTGTAGTCCTGGTGTAGTCCTGGTTTAGTCCTGGTGTAGTCCTGGTGTAGTCCTGGTGTAGTCCTGGTGTAGTCCTGGTTTAGTCCTGGTGTAGTCCTGGTGTAGTCCTGGTTGAGTCCTGGTGTAGTCCTGGTTTAGTCCTGGTTTGAGTCCTGGTTGAGTCCTGGTTTAGTCCTGGTTTAGTCCTGGTTTAGTCCTGGTTGAGTCCTGGTTTAGTCCTGGTTTAGTCCTGGTGTAGTCCTGGTTTAGTCCTGGTTTAGTCCTGGTTTAGTCCTGGTTGAGTCCTGGTTGAGTCCTGGTTTTAGTCCTGTTGAGTCCTGGTTTAGTCCTGGTTGAGTCCTGGTTTAGTCCTGGTTTAGTCCTGGTTGAGTCCTGGTTGAGTCCTGGTTGAGTCCTGGTTGAGTCCTGGTTGAGTTCTCTCTCAGCTGTCCAGGGGAATAACGAGGTGTCGATGTGGGACATGGAGACCGGAGACAGGAAGTTCACGCTGTGGGCAAGCTCCGCCCCCCCTCTGTCCGAGATGCAGGTGAGTCCTGGTCCTGGCCCTGGTCCTGGTCCTGGCCCTGGTCCTGGTCCTGGTCCTGGTCCTGGTCTCACTCTTGTCCTCTTCAGCCTTCTCCTCACAGTGTCCACGGGATCTACTGCAGTCCAGCCGACGGGAACCCACTGCTCCTGACCGCCGGCTCCGACATGAGGATCAGGTACAAGACCTGCTCTAGTCCTGCTCTAGTCCTGCTCTAGTCCTGCTCTAGTCCTGCTCTAGTCCTGCTCTAGTCCTGCTCTAGTCCTGCTCTAGTCCTGCTCTAGTCCTGCTCTAGTCCTGCTCTAGTCCTGTCTCTAGTCCTGCTCTAGTCCTGCTCTAGTCCTGCTCTAGACCTGCTCTAGACCTGCTCTAGTCCTGCTCTAGTCCTGCTCTAGTCCTGCTCTAGTCCTGCTCTAGACCTGCTCTAGCTCTAGCTCTAGTCCTGCTCTAGTCCTGCTCTAGACCTGCTCTAGTCCTGTCCTGCTCTAGACCTGCTCTAGACCTGCTCTAGTCCTGCTCTAGTCTCTCTAGACCTGCTCTAGTCCTGCTCTAGTCCTGCTCTAGACCTGCTCTAGTCCTGCTCTAGTCCTGCTCTAGACCTGCTCTAGTCCTGCTCTAGTCCTGCTCTAGTCCTGCTCTAGACCTGCTCTAGTCCTGCTCTAGTCCTGCTCTAGTCCTGCTCTAGACCTGCTCTAGACCTGCTCTAGTCCTGCTCTAGACCTGCTCTAGACCTGCTCTAGTCCTGCTCTAGACCTGCTCTAGACCTGCTCTAGACCTGCTCTAGACCTGCTCTAGACCTGCTCTAGACCTGCTCTAGACCTGCTCTAGTCCTGCTCTAGTCCTGCTCTAGACCTGGTGTGTGCAGGTTCTGGTTCTGGTTCTAGTTCTGGTTCTGTGTGCAGGTTCTAGTTCTGGTTCTAGTTCTAGTTCTGGTTCTGTGTGCAGGTTCTAGTTCTGGTTCTAGTTCTAGTTCTGGTTCTGTGTGCAGGTTCTGGGACCTGGTGTACCCTGAGCGTTCGTACATCGTGTCAGGAGGAGCTCACGACTCGCTGCACTGTCCCTCTGTCCTCTACAGCCGCAAGATCATCGAGGGAACCGAGGTGGTGCAGTACTACACATGTACACACTACACACACCTGTACTACACTGTACACCTGTACTACACATGTACTACACATGTACACACCTGTACTACACATGTACTACACTACACATGTACTACACACCTGTACACTACTACATGTGTACTACACTGTACTACACTGTACTACACTGTACACATGTACTACACCTGTACACACCTGTACACACCTACTACACCTGTACTACACCTGTACACACTACACTACACTTGTACTACACTTGTACTACACATGTACTACACCTGTACTACACTTGTACTACTACACTGTGTACTACACCTGTACTACTGTACACACCTGTACTACACACATGTACACTGTACACCTGTACTACACTGTACACTGTACACATGTACTACACTGTACACCTGTACTACACCTGTACACTGTACACACTGTACACACCTGTACACCTGTACTGTACACACCTGTACTACCTGTACTACACTGTACCTGTACTACTACACTGTGTACTACACTGTACTACACTGTGTACACTGTACTACACCTGTACTACACCTGTACTACACCTGTACTACACATGTACTACACCTGTACTACACCTGTACACACCTGTACACATGTACTACACATGTACTACACATGTACTACACCTGTACACACCTGTACACACCTGTACTACACCTGTACTACACTTGTACTACACGTGTACACACTTGTACACACGTGTACTACACATGTACTACACCTGTACTACACATGTACTACTTACTTGTACACACCTGTACTACACCTGTACTACACCTGTACAACACCTGTACTACACATGTACACACCTGTACACACGTGTACTACACCTGTACTACACCTGTACTACACCTGTACTACACATGTACACACCTGTACACACGTGTACTACACCTGTACTACACTTGTACTACACCTGTACACACCTGTACTACACATGTACTACACCTGTACTACACCTGTACTACACGTGTACACACCTGTACACACCTGTACACAAGTGTACTACACCTGTACTACACATGTACTACACTGTACTACACCTGTACACACGTGTACTACACATGTACACCTGTACTACACATGTACTACACCTGTACTACACCTGTACTACACCTGTACTACACCTGTACACACATGTACTACACATGTACACTGTACTACACCTGTACTGTACACCTGTACACTGTACACCTGTACTACACTGTACTACACCTGTACTACACATGTACTACACCTGTACTACACCTGTACTACACATGTACTACACCTGTACTACACATGTACTACACATGTACTACACATGTACTACACCTGTACTACACCTGTACTACACCTGTACTACACCTGTACACACGTGTTCAGACCTGGTTCAGTCCTGTTCAGTCCTGGTTCAGACCTGGTTCTCGTTGCAGGAGATCCACAGTAAACAGAAGTCTGGTTCTTCGGAGGACGGTCCGCGCAGAGGACCAGATGCCCTCCCAGTGGGACACCACGACATCATCACGGACATCGCCACGTTCCAGACGACGCAGGGTTTCATCGTGACGGCGTCTCGCGACGGTATCGTCAAAGTGTGGAAGTGAACCGACAACCTCACCGTAAGAGGGCGCCACCGTCAACCACCCACAATCCACTGCTCTGTTCTACTGTTCTAATGTTCCACTGTTCTACTGTTCTACTGTTCCACTGTTCTAATGTTCTGTTGTCATTTATACTGACACACACACTCACACATCAGAACATCAGAACATTAGAACATTAGAACATTAGAACATTAGGACAGTAGAACATGACTCTTGGTTCACATAGTGAAGTTTTAAACCATGAGTTTGTTTTTGGAGTCATCAGAGTTTGAGTCTGGACTTTTGCTCCTGTCTGGACTTTTGCTCCTGTCTGGACTTTTGCTCCTGTCTGGACTTTTGCTCCTGTCTGGACTTTTGCTCCTGTCTGGACTTTTGCTCCTGTCTGGACTTTTGCTCGTGTCGTTTGTTGGTTTATTTTCTGCTGTAAAGTGTCATAAAATGAAATCGAATAAATCTGTGTGAAAAATCGTGTCTGCGGCTCCTGCTTTATTGACTCTTTTTTTATTTTTTGTTTTATTTCTGAATCTTTTTTCTCACCGAACACTCGTTTACATCACAGCGTGGACACGTCTGCACTTTCCTCTGATCTCACCAAGATTTTCAAACTTCTCAGGTTCTTCGTCGTGTTTTCAGTTTTTACAGTTTCACTTCTGTCAAGTCGTTTTCTGATGGACTGAGGAGTTTTCTATTTTATTTTGGACGAGTTTCCCTGTGGACAGAGGTGACGCATGAACCGCCGCCACTGCCACCATCACCACTGCCGCCGCCGCCGCCGCCGCCGCCGCCACGCTTCACACAGGAAGTGTTCATGGGCGTGATCGAGCTCCATGGACTCTGGTCCCATCAAACTCAAACCAACACAAAAACGGTGTCCATCGTTTGTGTTGTGTTGTTTTGTGTGCGACAGTTTTCATTTGTGTGACTTTATTTCTAAAATTATTCATTCAAATAAAATAATCAAATAAATAAAAAAATAAAATCGAATCAGATTCAAATGGAGTTCGTTCCGACTGATCCAGACTTTTCCACAGACTCAAGTCGTTTCTCTTCTGGTTTTGTGGAGTTTTGTTAAAGTTTCTGTCGTCAGCTGAACACAAAGAACAAAATATAATTTACACAAAAATAATCATGAATCATTTTGCAAATAAACTCACACAAATGAAAACAGACACACAAACAAAACAACACAAAAAACAACAACAAACAAAACACAAAACACAAAACAACACAAAAAAACAACACAAAACAAATGTTTAATTTTCTGCTGTTTTGTTTATTTTATTGACTGTTGTGTAGTTTTGCGTTTGTCCATTTTATTTCTGTTGCTCATTTTACAAAAAGTGTGTATAGGCCTTTAAAGTGTGAATAGGCCTTTACAAAGTGTGAATAGGCCTTTATGAAGAGTGAATAGGCCTGTATGAAGTGTGAATAGGCCTTTATGAAGTGTGAATAGGCCTTTATGAAGTGTGAATAGGCCTTTATGAAGTGTGAATAGGCCTTTATGAAGTGTGAATAGGCCTTTATGAAGTGTGAATAGGCCTTTATGAAGAGTGAATAGGCCGTCATGATGTGTGAATAGGCCTGTATGAAGTGTGAATAGGCCTGTATGAAGTGTGAATAGGCCTTTATGAAGTGTGAATAGGCCTTTATGAAGTGTGAATAGGCCTTTATGAAGTGTGACTAGGCCTTTATGAAGTGTGAATAGGCCTTTATGAAGTGTGAATAGGCCTTTATGAAGTGTGAATAGGCCTTTATGAAGTGTGAATAGGCCTTTATGAAGTGTGAATAGGCCTTTATGAAGTGTGAATAGGCCTTATAAGTGTGAATAGGCCTTTATGAAGTGTGAATAGGCCTTTATGAAGTGTGAATAGGCCTTTATGAAGTGTGAATAGGCCTTTATGATGTGTGAATAGGCCTTTATGAAGTGTGAATAGGCCTTTATGAAGTGTGAATAGGCCTTTATGAAGTGTGAATAGGCCTTTATGAAGTGTGAATACGCCTTTAAAGTGTGAATAGGCCTTTATGAAGTGTGCCTTTATGAAGTGTGAATAGGCCTTTATGAAGTGTGAATAGGCCTTTATGATGTGTGATTAGGCCTTTATGAAGTGTGAATAGGCCTTTATGAAGTGTGAATAGGCCTTCATGAAGTGTGAATAGGCCTTTAAACTGTGAATAGGCCTTTATGAAGTTTGAATGGGCCTTTAAAAAGTGAATAGGCCTTTACGAAGTGTGAATAGGCGTTCATGAAGTGTGAATAGGCTTTTATGAAATGTGAGTAGGCCTTTATGAAATGTGAATAGGCCTTTATGAAGTGTGAATAGGCCTTTATGATGTGTGAATAGGCCTTTATGAAGTGTGAATAGGCCTTTAAAGTGTGAATAGGCCTTTATGATGTGTGAATAGGCCTTTATGAAGTGTGAATAGGCCTTTATGATGTGTGAATAGGCCTTTATGAAGTGTGAACAGGCCTTATGATGTGTGAATAGGCCTTTATGAAGTGTGAATAGGCCTTTATGATGTGTGAATAGGCCTTTATGAAGTGTGAATAGGCCTTTATGAAGTGTGAATAGGCCTTTATGAAGTGTGAATAGGCCTTTTTGAAGTGTGAATAGGCTTTTATGAAGTGTGAATAGGCCTTTATGAAGTGTGAATAGGCCTTTATACTCAGACTTTCACAAAACTCCAGGAGCCTTTTCATTTTAAACTTTTATTGTTTTGTTTCTTCACAAAGTTTGGTTCAAAATGTCCAAACGTCTCAGAACATTTTCAGTTTAACCCGTAAAAAAAAATACATTCAAAAAGTTTAGTAAAAAAAAGTGACGTAATAACTCTAGCATTAGCATTAGCATTAGCATTAGCATTAGCACACACAGTAGCACCAGGTTCCACAGACAATGCCCTCGTCTCCATAGCAACGCTTTAAAAGTACAGTTCAGCTCTGGATGTGTTCAGGTCCTGGTCCTGGTCTTGGTCCTGGTCCTGGTCTTGGTCTGGTCTTGGTCCTAGTCGTGGTTCTGGTCCTGGTCATTGTCCCGGTCCTGGTCCTGGTTGTGGTCTTGGTCCTGGTTCCGGTCCCGGTTCCGGTTCTACTTGGCGCCCGCACACGCCGCCTCACACTCGTCCTGGGTGCTGAAGCGGTTTGCGTTTCCTCCACAGCCTCCGAACCAGAACCTGGAGCACTCCCTCTGGACCGGGTCAAAGAACCAGAACATGGAGTAATCTGCACAAGAACCCGGGTCCTGAGGAAGAGCGCACACGTCTGAAGAAGAAGAAGAAGAAGAAGAAGAAGAAGAAGAAGAAGAAGAAGAAGAAGAAGAAGAAGGTTAGTCTGAGGAATATTGGACACATTGTGTGTCGTGTCCAGCTCAGGTCGTGTCCAGCTCAGGTCAGGTCCAGCTCAGGTCAGGTCCAGCTCAGGTCGTGTCCAGCTCAAGTCGTGTCCATCTCAGGTCGTGTCCATCTCAGGTCGTGTCCAGCTCAGGTCAGGTCCAGCTCAGGTCAGTTCCAGCTCAGGTCGTGTCCAGCTCAGGTCAGGTCCAGCTCAGGTCGTGTCCAGCTCAGGTCAGGTCCAGCTCAGGTCAGGTCCAGCTCAGGTCAGGTCCAGCTCAGGTCAGGTCCAGCTCAGGTCAGGTCCAGCTCTTGGACTTTCTGTCTTTAGCGTCACAGTGTCGCTGTTTCTTTTTCTTTCTTTTTTTTATTAGAATCACGTTTTTCTTTCTCTAAAGTTCAGATTTGAACTTCTCTAAATGTCCCACAGTCTCAGTTTGGGCTTTAGTTGCACCTGTCAGTCCGGGGGCTTTATCACCTGTCTCACCATTGCTCCCTGTGCTGAGTCGCTCCCCCTTCAGAGCGTCGCACTAATGAAACTCCTGCACGTCACGTTTGTCCAGTCAAAGTGTTCAGGTTTGTGTTTTTGTGTTTTTATAGGATTGTGGGCAGAGCCTCATACTGTGGGGGTGATGTGGGCTTGTGGGCGGAGCCTCGTACTGTGGGGGGGTGACGTGGGCTTGTGGGCGGAGCCTCGTACACACAGACACACTCATATTTACCGTGGTTCTTTGTCGCCGTGGACACAAATCTCTGTCCGTCTCCTCTGGTCCAGGCGTGAGTCAGGTCCACCTGCACCTGTCGGCTCGCTCCTGTCTTCACCGGTCTGCTGACAGTGTGCACCTGTCGGCTCGCTCCTGTCTGCACCGGTCTGCTGACAGTGTGCACCTGTCGGCCCGCTCCTGTCTGCACCGGTCTGCTGACAGTGTGCACCTGTCGGCTCGCTCCTGTCTGCACCGGTCTGCTGACAGTGTGCACCTGTCGGCTCGCTCCTGTCTGCACCGGTCTGCTGACAGTGTGCACCTGTCGGCTCGCTCCTGTCTGCTCCTGGAAACGCTCCGGCTCCTCGTTCAGCACCTCCTCCTCCTCAAACAGGGGCCCCAGACTGAGAACAACACGAAGTCAAGACGACCTGAGTGTGTGTGTGTGTAAGGGTCTGTGTGTGTGTGTGTGTGTGTGTGTGTGTGTGTAAGGGTCTGTGTGTGTGTGTGTGTGTAAGGGTCTGTGTGTGTGTGTGTGTAAGGGTCTGTGTGTGTGTGTGTGTGTGTGTGGGTCTGTGTGTGTGTGTGTGGTCTGTGTGTGTGTGTGTGTAAGGGTCTGTGTGTGTGTGTGTAATGTGTGTGTGTGTGTGTGTGTGTGTGTGTGTAAGGGTCTGTGTGTGTGTGTGTGTGTGTGTGTAAGGGTCTGTGTGTGTGTGTGTGTGTGTGGGTCTGTGTGTGTGTGTGTGTGTGTGTGTGTGTGTGTGTATGTGTAAGTGTCTGTGTGTGTGTGTGTGTAAGGGTCTGTGTGTTGTGTGTAAGGGTCTGTGTGTGTGTGTGTGTGTGTGTGTGTGTGTGTAAGGGTCTGTGTGTGTGTAAGGGTCTGTGTGTGTGTGGGTCTGTGTGTGTGTAAGGGTCTGTGTGTGTGTGTGTGTGTGTGTGTGTGTGTGTGGGTCTGTGTGTGTGTGTGTGGGTCTGTGTGTGTGTGTGGGTCTGTGTGTGTGTGTAAGGGTCTGTGTGTGTGTGTGTGTAAAGGGTCTGTGTGTGTGTGTGTATGGGTCTGTGTGTGTGTAAGGGTCTGTGTGTGTGTGTGTGTGTGTGTGTAAGGGTCTGTGTGTGTGTGTGTGTGTGTAAGGGTCTGTGTGTGTGTGGGTCTGTGTGTGTGTGTAAGGGTCTGTGTGTGTGTGTGGGTCTGTTTGTGTGTGTGTGGTCTGTGTGTGTGTGTGTAAGGGTCTGTGTGTGTGTGGGTCTGTGTGTGTGTGTGTGTGTAAAGGTCTGTGTGTGTGTGGGTCTGTGTGTGTGTGGGTCTGTGTGTGTGTGTGTGTGTGTAAGGGTCTGTGTGTGTGTGTGTGTGTGTGTGTGTGTAAGGGTCTGTGTGTGTGTGTGTGTGTGTGGGTCTGTGTGTGTGTGTGTAAGGGTGTGTGTGTGTGTGTATGTGTAAGGGTCTGTGTGTCTGTGTGTAAGTGTGTGTGTGTGTGTGTGTGTGTGTGTGTGTGTGTGTGTCTGTGTGTGTGTAAGGGTCTGTGTGTGTGTGGGTCTGTGTGTGTGTAAGGGTCTGTGTGTGTGTGTGGGTCTGTGTGTGTGTGTATGGGTCTGTGTGTGTGTGTGTGTGTGTGTCTGTGTGTGTGTGTGGTCTGTGTGTGTGTGTAAGGGTCTGTGTGTGTGTGTGTGTAAAGGTCTGTGTGTGTGTGTATGTGGTCTGTGTGTGTGTGTGGGTCTGTGTTGTGTGTGTGTGTGTGTGTGTCTGTGTGTGTGTGTGTGTGTGTAAGGGTCTGTGTGTGTGTGGGTCTGTGTGTGTGTGTAAAGGTCTGTGTGTGTGTGTGTGTGTGTGTGGTGTGTGTGTGTGGTCTGTGTGTGTGTGTGTAAGGGTCTGTGTGTGTGTGTGTGTGGGTCTGTGTGTGTGTGTGTGTGTGTGTGTAAAGGTCTGTGTGTGTGTGTGGGTCGTGTGTGTGTGTGTGTGGGTCTGTGTGTGTGTGTGTGTGTGTAAGGTCTGTGTTGTGTGTGGTGTCTGTGTGTGTGTGTGTGTGTGTGTAAGGGTCTGTGTGTGTGTGGGTCTTTACCCAGTTTGTCCCTGGAACTGTTCACAGTTTCTCTTGACTGAAGGATGAGGGTACGAGTTCACACGTCCTGAAACACACACAGACTATCTGAGTCTAAACCCGGTCTAAACCCGGTCTAAACCCGGTCTAAACCCGGTCTAAACCCGGTCTAAACCCGGTCTTACTGTTGAGCGCCGACAGCAGCACCCTGAGGAACCTGCGGGCGTAGTCCTGTTGGTCCGGTCTGACCCGGTCCAGGTGGATCAGGTGCTGGTCCAGAGGGCGACTGACCATGTGCTCCACCTGAGAGCGATTAAACCCGGAGCCCACGGTCACCACGGCGACGGCCACGCCCTCACACAAGGCCTGCTGGGAAACGAAGTCCAGCCGCGTCCGGTCCGTCCCCGACGCCGACGCCGTCCCCAACACGAAGAGCAGCGCCCTCTGACGGCGAGGAGACGACGAGCCCTTCAACAGCACCTGACACACACAGAGAGGACACCTGACACACACAGAGAGGACACCTGACACACACAGAGAGGACACCTGACACACACAGGACACCTGACACACACAGAGAGGACACCTGACACACACAGAGAGGACACCTGACACACACAGAGAGGACACCTGACACACACAGGACACCTGACACACACAGGACACCTGACACACACAGAGAGGACACCTGACACACACAGGACACCTGACACACACAGAGAGGACACCTGACACACACAGAGAGGACACCTGACACACACAGGAGCGCACCTGACACACACAGAGAGGACACCTGACACACACAGGACAGCACCTGACACACACAGGACAGCACCTGACACACACAGAGAGGACACCTGACACACACAGGACACCTGACACACAGACACCTGACACACAGGAGAGCACCTGACACACAGGAGGGGCACCTGACACACAGGAGACACCTGACACACACAGAGAGACACCTGACACACACAGGACAGCACCTGACACACACACCTGACACACACACCTGACACACACAGAGAGGACACCTGACACCACACAGGAGGACACCTGACACACACAGAGAGCACCTGACACACACAGAGAGGACACCTGACACACACAGGACAGCACCTGACACACGGGAGAGCACCTGACACACAGGGGGGCACCTGACACACAGGAGAGCACCTGACACACACAGAGAGGACACCTGACACACACAGGACAGCACCTGACACACACAGGACAGCACCTGACACACACAGAGAGGACACCTGACACACACAGAGAGGACACCTGACACACAGGAGAGCACCTGACACACAGGGGGGCACCTGACACACAGGAGAGCACCTGCCGTACCTGGTTCAGGGTGAACTCGAGGGTCTGTCCCAGGCTGGAGGAGCCTCTCTGCTGTTGGACTTTCTGGAGCAGGTGAGTTTGGACCTGGTTCTGGTTCTGGTACTGGTCCAGTCCAAACTCCAGCGTGGGGGAGGCGCCGCTCACCTGGACCAGCCCGACCCGGACCTGCCCCGGTCCCGGTCTCTTGGGGGTCGGGCTCAGCTGGACCTGAGACACCACGGAACCCAGAAGCTCCTGGAACCCCCTGAACTCATCCTGAGGAACCTCCCGAGACCCGTCCAGAACCAGAGCCAGGTCCAGGTCCACAGTCACGGGCCGGTCCTGGGTGAAGGAGCAGGACTCAGAGGGAGCGCACGGGTCTGAGGGAGGACGGGAGGGCATCAGGGGCAATGAGACACACGGAGATGGGATTAGAACATATGGATTAGAATGAGTTTAATCCTGGTCTAGTCCTGGTCTAGTCCTGGTCTAGTCCTGGTCTAGTCCTGGTCTAGACTCACCGTAGCACAGGGCACAGTTCTTGATCTTTGTCAGAGCTTCTTCGTTTCGACCCAAAACTGAAAACATGGAGATGCCCGAGTCGTCCACCTGAAACAGACCCAGTTTAGTCTTGTTACAGTCCTGGTTTAGTCCTGGTTTAGTCCTGGTTCAGTTCTGGTTTAGTCTTTGGCGAGGAGAAAATTCAGTTTGTCGGGTTAGGGTTAGGGTTAGGGTTAGGGTTAACCCTAACCCTAACCCTAACCCTAACCCGTGTAAACAGGAGACAGATGGAGTCTGAGTCTGAGTCTGTTTAGAGAAAGATTCTCTTTCTTAACAAAAACTGTTTCTTTCACTCTCCTCTCAAACCAGTTCTTTTCTCTGGATCAGATCTGGACAGTGTTTACACGTCCAACCTCAAACCTCCAACAAAACAAACAAGAGAAGAACAGGTGGAGTCAGGTCAGGACCAGAGGTGTGGACGCTCCATTATGGACATGAACTGTTCTGTTCATTAGACCCACACCCTGTACAGGTCAACAGACCCAACTAACAAACACAAACTGTAAACAAGTGTGTGTTAGTTCCAGAGGAGTTTCAGTGTAGTTAGCTCCTCCTGCAGATAGAAGGAAGAGTCACCAGAGTCTGACAGAACTGAAGAAGCAGCTTGGACGAACTGAGCAACGTCTTCAACCAAACTCACTTTTGTCCAGTCGACAAACTGAATTTTCTTCTCGACATGATTCTACCTGAACGACTGAGGGACTCTTCACACATCTCGAGAACAACTGGTTTAGTCTTGTTATAGTCCCAGTTCAGTCCTGGTTCAGTTCTGGTTCAGTTCTGGTTCAGTTCTGGTACCTTCAGCGCCTCCTCGACCTCGGGGGCGGGCCTTAGCGACAGGACGGCGGGGGCGATGGCGAGCGCTCGCAGCTCCATCACGGCGGTGACCAGCTCGCTCACGTCCTGCGTCGCTCCGTTCGACAGGAACAGCGCCACCTTCCTCACGGTGGCGCCAGAGCGGACGCGCTTGAACACGTTCTGCCCCACGAACCTGAGACCGAGACCAGGACCAGGACCGGGACCAGGACCCGGGTTAGACCCAGACCGGGACCAGTGTTAGTCCTTCAGCCCCGACCCTCCCCCGTCCCGTTAGCCCCGCCTCCATCCCGTTAGCCCCTCCCCGTCCCGTTAGCCCCTCCCCGTCCCGTTAGCCCCTCCCCGTCCCGTTAGCCCCGCCCTCACCTCATGGCGGCCCCGAGCTGTCTTCTGCTGGACGTCCTCTCGAGGGCGATGTTCTTCACGGCGTCCAGGAGCTGACTTTTCCTTCTGTAGTCCGAGAACCGAACCAGGTACTTGGTCCTGGACCCGAACCCGACGACGGCGACTCGAGCGCCGCGGGGACAGTCGGACTCGGTGACGGACAGAGACGAGAGCAGAGACAGGACGGACGAACGCTGTCGCTCAAACGCCACCGGAGTCACGTCCTCCGACATGTCCAACGCCACCACCAACTCCGTGGGCACCAGCGGACACTGCACCTGGTCTGAGGAGAGACCAGAACCAGGACTGAACCAGGTCTAAATCCAGGACTGAACCAGGACTGAACCAGGACTGAACCAGGACTGAACCAGGACTAAACCAGGACTAAACTAGGACTGAACCAGGACTGAACCAGGTCTAAATCCAGGACTGAACCAGGACTGAACCAGGACTGAACCAGGACTAAACCAGGACTAAACTAGGACTAAACTAGGACTAAACCAGGACTAAACCAGGTCTAAATCCAGGACTGAACCAGGACTGAACCAGGACTGAACCAGGACTAAACCAGGACTGAACCAGGACTGAACCAGGACTGAACCAGGACTAAACCAGGACTGAACCAGGACTGAACCAGGACTAAACCAGGACTAAACCAGGACTGAACCAGGACTAAACCAGGACTGAACCAGGTCTAAATCCAGGACTGAACCAGGACTGAACCAGGACTGAACCAGGTCTGAACCAGGACTAAACCAGGACTAAACCAGGTCTGAACCAGGATTAAACCAGGATTAAACCAGGACTAAACCAGGATTAAACCAGGACTAAACCAGGACTGAACCAGGACTGAACCAGAACTAAACCAGGACTAAACCAGGACTGAACCAGGACTGAACCAGGACTAAACCAGGACTGAACCAGGACTGAACCAGGACTAAACCAGGACTGAACCAGGACTGAACCAGGACTAAACCAGGACTGAACCAGGACTGAACCAGGACTAAACCAGGACTAAACCAGGACTAAACCAGGACTGAACCAGGTCTGAACCAGGACTAAACTAGGACTGAACCAGGACTAAACCAGGACTAAACCAGGACTAAACCAGGACTGAACCAGGTCTAAATCCAGGACTGAACCAGGACTGAACCAGGTCTGAACCAGGACTAAACCAGGACTAAACCAGGTCTGAACCAGGACTAAACCAGGACTAAACCAGGTCTGAACCAGGATTAAACCAGGATTAAACCAGGACTAAACCAGGACTAAACCAGGACTAAACCAGGACTAAACCAGGACTAAAACCAGGACTAAACCAGACTAAACCCAGGTCTAAACCAGGACTAAACCAGGACTAAACCAGGACTAAACCAGGACTGAACCAGGACTGAACCAGGACTAAACCAGGACTGAACCAGGACTGAACCAGGACTGAACCAGGACTAAACCAGGGACTAAACCAGGACTGAACCAGGACTAAACCAGGACTAAACCAGGACTAAACCAGGACTAAACCAGGACTGAACCAGGACTAAACCAGGACTAAACCAGGACTGAACCAGGACTGAACCAGGACTGAACCAGGACTAAACCAGGACTGAACCAGGACTAAACCAGGACTAAACCAGGACTGAACCAGGACTGAACCAGGTCTGAACCAGGACTAAACCAGGACTGAACCAGGACTAAACCAGGACTAAACCAGGACTAAACTAGGACTAAACTAGGACTAAACCAGGACTAAACCAGGTCTAAACCAGGACTAAACCAGGACTAATGTTAGGATTTGGGTTTTTTTGTTCTCTCTCTTTCTGTTGCAGAGCTTGAGTGTGGCAGGGGGCGTGGCTTCTTCAGGGGGCGTGGCTTCTTCCAGAGCAGATGAGACACACCTGCAATCAATTCCTTCATCAGCCTCTGTATTTAGCCCTGCTCTTCTCACCACCACTTTGCCAGATAATTCCGTCCTGTTCGGTAGCGTCTTTCAGGCTCTTGGATTTATACCTGTTTTGTTTGCTGTTTGTCTTGGACTCACCTGCTCCTGTTTTCGCCCAGGTGTCTCCGTGGTTGTCTGCTGTTGCCTCTGGAGAAGTCGGCCAGCTCCCTGCCTCCCGTTTGTAAAATAAACTGTTAAAACTTGACTGAGTCCTGGCTCTGCTTTGGGGTCCCTCTTGCCAAACCATAACAGAATTATCTGGCCACAATGGACCCCGCAGAATTCGAACAGCTCAAACAAGCACTTACCTTTCAAGGAGCTCATGTGGGACAGCAAGAAGAAAGGCTAAAGGAGATTATGGACTCCCTGCAAACTCTCTCTGCCGGTGTGTCTCAGCTCAGCAGCCATCTTGATCACATTGCTTCTCACCTTTCGGCTCAAGCTCCAGCTCCAGCTCCACCTGTTCCTGCATTTCCAGAGTCCCATTTTGCCCAGTCCCATGAACCATTCATCCCAACACCTGCCAGGTATTCTGGAGAATTAGGGACATGCAGACAATTTTTACATCAATGTATGCTAGTTTTCGACCAACAACCTCTAACCTATGCTACTGATAAAGCTAAAGTAGCTTTCATAATGAGTTTACTTTCTGGTAAAGCTTCAGCCTGGGCAGTGGCTTTAGCTAATAGCTACGGTTCCATTTGCAACTCATGACATACTTTTACTGCCGAAATGCGTAAGGTTTTTGATCATCCCCTTCAAAGTAAAGAAGCCAGTAACAGGCTTCTATCTCTACGTCAAGGTTCTGACTCTGTTTCTTCTTACTCCATTGACTTTCGTATCTTGGCTGCAGAAAGTGGGTGGGAGGAGAAAGCTTTGCAAGGGGTGTTCTTCCGGGGTTTAAGTGAAGAGGTTAAAGATGAACTAGCTGCCCGTGATGGGAAGAGCTTATTTCTCTAGCCATCCGTTTAGATAACCGCCTCAGGGAAAGGCGTAGGGAGAAAGCAGGAAGGCAAAGTTTTCCTCTTACCCACTCCAGAGCTTTCCAACAGCCGGCTCCCTCCTCCCTTCCTCATGTGTTACACCTGCAGTTCCAGCTTCCTCCACCTCCTCCAACACTGAAGAACCCATGCAAGAGGGGAGATTAGGACCAACCCCTGAGGAACGTCAGCGCCGTCTCAGCCAGAACCTCTGTCTGTACTGTGGCCAGGCTGGCCACATTCTGGTCCAATGTTCGGCTCGTCTTAAAGGGGCGGGTTCATCAGTCTCTGGAGGGGCACTGGTGAGCCACACACCCACAGACCCCTCCTCCAAACGAATTCAGCTCAAAGGTACTGTCACTTGGTCTCAGACCTCTTTCCCTCTCCAAGCCCTGGTGGATTCCGGTGCCGACGACAACTTTATTGACTCTGCATTTGTTTCCCTTTGCAACATTCCTATAGACCCTTTACCTGAGCCCAAGAAAGTTTTCACCCTTGATGGAAAGTTACTTGCCTCTGTTACTCATCGAACTGTTCCTGTATCACTGCTGCTCTGGTAACCACTGCGAGACCATCACACTCTACATAGTCTCCTCACCCTCCTCTCCTTTAGTCTTCGGTCTCCCTTGGCTTAAGCTCCACAATCCCCACATAGACTGGTCCACTTTGTCCATAGTTAATTGGAGCATTTTCTGTCACTCTCACTGTCTTCACTCTGCTGTGCCCATTACCCAGACTGTGTTAACTCCTCCCAAACCAGTTGATCTCACACTTGTCTCCACTGAATACCATGACCTCCAGGAGGTTTTTTCCAAGGACTGAGCTTTGTCACTTCCCCCACACAGGCCATATGATTGCAGCATTGACCTAATACCTGGTGCCCCTCTACCTACCAGTAAACTCTATAACCTCTCCAAGCCTGAAAGAGAAGCTATGGAGGAATACATTTCGAGCTTGTTGACTGCTGGTTTAATCCGACCCTCTTCGTCTCCTGTGGGAGCAGGATTCTTCTTCGTTGATAAGAAAGACAAATCTTTAAGACCATGTATTGACTACAGGGGCCTGAATGACATAACTGTTAAGAACAAGTATCCCCTGCCTCTCATCAACTCTGCCTTCAGCTCCCTCCATGAGGCCACTATTTTCACAAAGGTAGACCTCCGTAACGCCTACCATCTAGTGCAAATAAAAGAGGGAGATGAGTGGAAAATGGCTTGTAACACTCCACTTGGACATTTTGAGTATCTGGCAATGCCATTTGGCTTAACTAATGCCCCAGCTGTTTCCAGGCTCTTATCAATGATGTTCTGAGAGACATGTTAAATAGGTTTGTGTTTGTGTACTTGGATGATATTTTGATCTTTTCTCGTTCTTACCAGGAGCATGTTCAACATGTTAAACTTGTACTTCAGCACCTCCTTGAGAACAGACTATGTGAAAGCTGAGAAGTGTGAGTTTCATGTGTCATCTGTTAGTTTCTTGGGGTTTGTTGTGGAGAAGGGGCAAATTAAGTCTGACCCAGCTAAGATCAAGGCTGTGGTTGAATGGCCCACTCCTACAAATAGAAAACAGCTTCAGAGGTTTCTGGGATTTGCTAACTTTTATCGTAGATTCATTCGTGACTATAGCAAAGTTGCCTCTCCCCTAACAAGGTTGACATCTTTGAAAGAACCATTTCTGTGGTCAGCTGAGGCAGAGGCAGCCTTTGTTAGGTTAAAAAGTCTATTTTGTTCTGCACCTGTTCTGTCTCATCCTGATCCCTCTGCACAGTTCATTGTTGAGGTGGATGCCTCGGACTCTGGCATCGGGGCAGTTCTCTCACAACGCTCCACTTCAGACCAAAAACTGCATCCTTGCGCCTTTTACTCTCGCCGATTGACCCCCGCAGAGAGGAATTATGATGTGGGCAATCGAGAGCTTCTGGCTGTTGTAATGGCGCTGAAGGAATGGAGGCACTGGCTGGAGGGCTCTACTCAACCATTTTTGGTATGGACTGATCATAAAAATTTGTCTTACCTTCGTTCCGCCCGCAGGCTCGGTGGGCTCTCTTCCTATGACGTTTCAATTTCTCCCTTACCTTCCGTCCTGGGTCCAGGAACATGAAACCTGATGCTTTGTCCCATCAGTTCGCCTCCTCTGTAGATTCTCCTGAGGAACCCATTTTGCCTGCTACCTGTATCGTTGGAGCAGCCCGCTGGGAGGTGGAGAAAGTGGTCCAGGAGGCCCAGGTGAGTGACCCCACGCCTGAGGGATGTCCTCAGGGTCGCCTATTTGTTCCTCCATCTGCTAGGTCGGTGGTGCTTCAGTGGGGTCATGCATCCAAGGCCTCCTGCCATCCTGGGTTCCACCGCACTCTGACCCTGCTCCAGCAGCGCTTCTGGTGACCATCCATGTCGTCTGACACCAGAGACTTTTTTTCTCCCTGCTCCATTTGTGCTCGTAGTAAGTCCTCTCACCGTGCTCCAGCTGGACTCCTCCGCCAACTTCCTATTCCCCATCGGCCTTTGTCACACATTGAGGTGGATTTTGTTACTAGCCTCCCGCCTTCAGAAGGTAATACCTGTATCCTTACGGTAGTAGACAGATTCTCCAAATCTGTGCACTTCATTCCACTCACCAAACTGCCCTCCGCTTTTGAGACCGCCAATTTACTCATTCAACATGTATTTAGGATACATGGTATACCTCAGGACATTGTTTCGGACAGGGGGCCACAGTTTACCTCTCAGGTTTATAGAGCCTTCTGCCACTCACTGGGAGCCTCAGCCAGCTTGTCCTCAGGGTATCATCCACAAACCAATGGCCAGACGGAGCGGGCCAATCAAGACTTGGAGTCTGCTCTTCGTTGTGTTACTGCATGCCACCCTGCTTCCTGGTCCACCCACCTCCCTTGGATTGAATACGCCCCTAACTCCTTGCTCAGCTCAGCCACTGGAATGTCTCCTTTCATGGCAGCCAATGGGTTTCAGCCTCCTCTGTTCCCTACCCAGGAGAGAGATGTTGCAGTACCATCCATCCAGCAACACCTTCGGCGAGCCCAGCATGTCTGGCAGGAGGTCCGTGCTGCACTATGCCATACGGCCGCACGTAACCAGAGGCTTGCTGATCGCCATCGGTCTCCTGCTCCTGACTATGTGCCTGGCCAAAAGATTTGGCTCTCAACTCGTGACTTATCTCTTCAGACTGAGTCCCGCAAACTGGCACCCAGGTATATCGGTCCTTTTGTCATTGAGCGCATAATCAATCCCACCGTTGTTAATGTCCACCCTGCCTTTCATGTGTCCCTCCTTAAACCGGTTTCCACGAGTCCCCTGAGCCCTCCAGCCGAACCCCCTCCACCCCCCCCCCCCGGATTGTTGACAACCATCCTGCCTTCACTGTTCGGCGTTTGCTGGATGTCCAGAGACGGGGCCGCGGCTTCCAGTATCTGGTAGACTGGGAGGGGTACGGTCCTGAGGAGCGATCGTGGATCTCCCGCTCCCTTATTCTGGACCCCCAGCTACTCACTGACTTCTATACTCTCCATCCGGACAAGCCTGGTAGGACGCCAGGGGGCGTCCCTTGAGGGGGGGGTACTGTTAGGATTTGTTTTTTTTGTTCTCTCCCCCTCCCCTTTCTGTTGCAGGGCTTGAGTGTGGCAGGGGGCGTGGCTTCTTCCAGAGCAGATGAGACACACCTGCAATCAATTCCTTCATCAGCCTCTGTATTTAGCCCTGCTCTTCTCACCACCACTTTGCCAGATAATTCCGTCCTGTTTGATAGCGTCTATCAGGCTCTTGGATATTTACCTGTTTTGCTTATTGGTTGTTTTGGACTTACCTGCTCCTGTTTTCGCCCAGGTGTCTCCGTGGTTGTCTGCTGTTGCCTCTGGAGAAGTCGGCCAGCTCCCTGCCTCCCGTTTGTAAAATAAACTGTTAAAACTTGACTGAGTCCTGGCTCTGCTTTGGGGTCCCTCTTGCTAAACCTTAACAAAACCAGGACTGAACCGGGTCTAAACCAGGACTAGACTTGGTCCGGGTCTGGGCTCGTACCGGTGGAACAGGCTGTTGACAGAGAAACAGAAACATCAACAAGATTTTTCTCCAAAACCAAAACAAACTCAAACTCTGAAACTCACCACAGTTTTCCCGAATGTAGCGAATCATCTCACACTCCTGAAAAACACACACACCACACAACACACACACACACACACACACACACACACACACACACACACACATATTAGTTAAACACATGGAGAGTTTAAAGTTCATGTTTAAAACATTTTAATGCTTCAGTAAAAGTGACTCACATTCCTTCGTTCTCCTGGAGGTCCTCGAGGTCCCTGTGAGGACCACACATGTCAGAAGTACTCAGATACTCACATACTCCAGTAAACTCACTCAGATACTCACATACTCCAGTAAACTCACTCAGATACTCACATACTCCAGTAAACTCACTCAGATACTCACATACTCCAGTAAACTCACTCAGACTCAGATACTCAGACTGACCTCGTGTCCAGGGAATCCAGGCTCTCCTGGACTTCCCTCTCCACCTGGAGCCCCCGAGTTTCCCTGAAAGGAGACCGGATTAAACCAGGACTAAACCAGGACTAAACCAGGACTAAACCAGGACTAAAGCAGGACTAAAGCAGGACTAAAGCAGGACTAAAGCAGGACTAAAGCAGGACTAAAGCAGGACTAAAGCAGGACTAAAGCAGGACTAGACTCACTCCTCTGCCGCGGTTGCCTTTGCGTCCGGGGAATCCTTTGGGTCCCTGGAGACCATCCTCACCCTGAAACAGAAAAAGAACCAGATCTGAGGTCTGACTGTGTGTGGGACTCGGGTCGGACTCGGGTCGGACTGGGACTCGATGGCGTCAGCTGTTTCCTGTCTCCAGTGGCTCTGAGACTCTTGCGTGTCAAAGTTCAGACTCTGCTCTTCTAGTTTTGATCCAAGTCCAAACTGTGTGATTATTATTTGTGAAATGTGGAGCAAAACCTCAGATCCAGGATTTTTAAAGCATCAAAGTTTGGAGATAAAGTGTCGGGGAAGTGGAGTCACTGAGGAGAATCTGCAGGTTCAGGTTCAGGTTCAGGTTCAGGTGGACTCGTGCTCTGTGTGGATGTTACAGACTCACGAGACCAAACAAACTCACCTTTTTACTTTAAACTACGACTCAAAAAACTGGAGTCACAGACGTTTTGTGTCTGGACTCATTGTGGAGGAGAAATTCTGTGGAGAACGTGGATGAGACGCTGCAACTTTACATTTAACAGTTTAAATTTAAATTGATCACTTAAACTTTCACACTGTGTGTATATGTGTGTGTGTTTTGTGTGTGTGGACTCACCATTAGCCCTGGGTATCCGGGGAATCCTGTGTCTCCCTGTAAACATGAAACACACACACACACACACACACACACACACACACACACACACACACACACACACACAGTTCATTATAATCAATAAATAAAAACAAATAAAATAAAAACTGAATTAAATCAGGACGATTATAAAAAGTCTGAGCTGCACCTTTGCACCGCTGGGTCCCGGGGGTCCAGACCCGTCTCTGCCATCCAGACCCTGCACACAAAGACCGGACTGAACCAGGACTGAACCAGGACTGAACCAGGACTAAACAGGACTGAACCAGAACTAAACCAGGACTGAACCAGAACTAAACCAGGACTAAACCAGAAATAAACCAGGATTGAACCAGATCTAAACTCAGTTGGTCTCTCACCGGGGGTCCTCGGGGGCCCTGGGATCCGGGGTCTCCCTTTTCTCCAGGCTCTCCGGGCTGCCCCTGTGACCCAGACACACAGTGAGACATGTGTGTGTGTCTGTGTTTTGTGCGTTGTGTGTGTTGTGTGTTTCACCTTTTGTCCGTTGGGTCCTCGTCTTCCGTTCAGACCTGGACCTCCAGGTGCTCCTGGTCCTCCCTGAAACATCAACATTTAAGAAAGAGAAGAAGAAGAAGAAGAAGAAGAAGAGGAGGATGGACTCTGCTCTACATGATCCTGGGGTTTGTTTCTATATTAATTCCCGTCCCTGATGTGTCTGTGTGTCCAGATGTTCTGGATGTGTCCGTGTGTCCAGATGTTCCGGATGTGTCCGTGTGTCCAGATGTTCTGGATGTGTCTGTGTGTCCAGATGTTCTGGATGTGTCCGTGTGTCCAGATGTTCCGGATGTGTCCGTGTGTCCAGATGTTCTGGATGTGTCCGTGTGTCCAGATGTTCCGGATGTGTCCGTGTGTCCAGATGTTCCGGATGTGTCCGTGTGTCCAGATGTTCTGGATGTGTCTGTGTGTCCAGATGTTCCGGATGTGTCCGTGTGTCCAGATGTTCTGGATGTGTCCGTGTGTCCAGATGTTCTGGATGTGTCCGTGTGTCCAGATGTTCTGGATGTGTCCGTGCTGACGTCCATGAGCCTCGTTTGGACTCAGGTCTCTGCGTCTGTGGAGGAAACGTGAGTCTCACCTGAGCTCCGGGCAGACCCTGAGGTCCTCGAGGTCCCGGCTGACCGTTCACTCCTCTGGGGCCCTGAAGGGTCACACAGGACACTGTTATCAACATGACCCCGTCTGACCCCACTGACCCCACCTCTGACCCCTGTGACCCCTGTGACCCCTGTGACCCCTTCTCTTACCTGTGGTCCTGAAGGTCCAGGTGTCCCTCTGGGTCCAGGTTCTCACTCCAACTACACACACACAGGGCACAGACACACACACATACACACACACACATACACACACACACACACACACACACACATACACACACACACACACACACACACACATACACACACACACACACACACACACACACATACACACATACACACACACACACACACACACATACACACACATACACACACACAGAAAACACACACACACACACAGAGTCACATGTGAGGACTGTATCTGCAGTGTCTTTGTTTGGCTCAGATGTTTCTTCAGAAAGTCTCTGACTCTGATCTTCAGGTTCTGGTTCCTCTGGACCTCAGTCCGAGCCCAGAGACGCTTCAGGACGAGATGCTCCACACAGTTTAGCTTTAGGACGCACAACTGAGACACGTCCACCGGACTGTCCTCTCACTGACCGATACTGACCGATACTGACCGATACTGACACATACTGACCGATACTGACTCATACTGGCCGATACTGACACATACTGACACATACAGACACTGACCGATACTGACCCATATTGATCTATACTGACCGATATTCAGACACTGACCGATTCTTGGGCTGGAACAAAAATTGGGGTAAAAAATGAGAAACTTTTGAGGAAAAGAATCTGCTTCTTCAGTTCTGATCTGAAACAGTTTTGGAGAAGCTGCGAAACAAAATCGATCAAAAAAGTTTGAGTTTCTCTTTTGCCGTGGATCCTCCCTGAACGACTGAAAGATTTACAAAAAAACCCAAAACAAACCTCTGGCTCCTAAGTCCAGTTTCAGACACAAACGACTTTTGATGACCTCTGACCCCTGACCCTGTGGAGGGTCCAGTCTGAACTCTGCTGTGAGGAAGAGGAGTTACCTTTTCTCCAGGAGGTCCTCGTCTTCCCTCAGTGCCCTGAAAACACAAGAACCACAGAAAGAGTCACATGATCTGCTGCTCCTTTGACCTTTAAACGTTCTGACCCTTTAAACATTCTGACCCTTTAAGCATTCTGACCCTTTAATTGTTCTGACCCTTTAAAGATTCTGACCCTTTAAACATTCTGACCCTTTAATCATTCTGACCCTTTAATCATTCTGACCCTTTAATTGTTCTGACCCTTTAAACACAAGAGAAACAGAGAGCAACACATGAGTCACACAACAAACGGTCTCTCCCCGGTGCTCGTGGGGTCAGAGGTCGTGGGGTCAGAGGTCGTGGGGGTGGTCGTGGGGTCGGTGGACGTGGGGTCGGTGGGGGGTGGTGGACGTGGTCGTGGGGTGGTGGACGTGGGGTCAGAGGTCGTGGGGTCGTGGACGTGGTCGGTGGACGTGGGGTCGGTGGACGTGGGGTTGGTGGACGTGGGGTCAGTGGTCGTGGGGTCAGTGGTCGTGGGGTCGGTGGACGTGGGGTCAGTGGTCGTGGGGTCAGAGGTCGTGGGGTCAGACACCTGCAGGTCTCTGTGTGGAGCACAGGGGGCAGCACTGAGCAGGACTCACCTTGTTTAAACCCTAAACCAGGTCTAAACCAGGTCTCTAAACCAGGACTAAACCAGGTCTAAACCAGGACTAAACCAGGTCTAAACCAGGTCTAAACCAGGTCTAAACCAGGTCTAAACCAGGTCTAAACCGACTGAGGGTCTAAACCAGAAGGTCACAGAGAAGACAGAACAGTACTTGAAACTAAACAGGTGGAGAACTGTCTCACTAAACCAGGTCCGAGAACACAAGACCAGGTCAAGAACCAGGACTAAACCAGGTCTAAACCAGGACTAAACCATTTCTAAACCAGGTAGTAGTAGGTAGTAGTAGTATTGTAGTACTGTAGTAGTACTGTAGTACTGTAGTACTGTAGTATGTAGTAGTATTGTAGTACTGTAGTATTGTAGTACTTGTAGTACTGTAGTATTGTAGTACTATTGTAGTATTGTAGTACTGTAGTATTGTAGTACTGTAGTACTGTAGTAGTAGTACTTGTAGTATTGTAGTACTGTAGTACTGTAGTATTGTAGTATTGTAGTTGTAGTATTGTAGTACTGTAGTACTGTAGTACTGTAGTACTGTAGTACTGTAGTACTGTAGTGTAGTAGTTGTAGTATTGTAGTACTGTAGTACTGTAGTACTGTAGTACTGTAGTACTGTAGTACTGTAGTATTGTAGTACTGTAGTAGTACTGTAGTATTGTAGTACTGTAGTAGTAGTGTGTAGTACTGTAGTATTGTAGTACTGTAGTATTGTAGTAGTACTGTAGTATTGTATTGTAGTATTGTAGTACTGTAGTACTGTAGTACTGTAGTATTGTAGTACTGTAGTACTGTAGTACTGTAGTACTGTAGTACTGTAGTATTGTAGTACTGTAGTATTGTAGTACTGTAGTACTGTAGTACTGTAGTACTGTAGTACTGTAGTACTGTAGTACTGTAGTACTGTAGTATTGTAGTATTGTAGTACTGTAGTATTGTAGTATTGTAGTACTGTAGTACTGTAGTATTGTAGTACTGTAGTACTGTAGTATTGTAGTACTGTAGTATTGTAGTATTGTAGTACTGTAGTACTGTAGTATTGTATTGTAGTACTGTAGTGTAGTACTGTAGTATTGTAGTATTGTAGTACTGTAGTACTGTAGTAATGTAGTATTGTAGTATTGTAGTATGTAGTACTGTAGTACTGTAGTACTGTAGTACTGTAGTACTGTATTGTAGTAGTATTGTAGTATTGTAGTACTGTAGTACTGTAGTACTGTAGTACTGTAGTATTGTAGTACTGTAGTACTGTAGTATGTAGTAGTTTGTAGTATACTGTAGTACTGTGTAGTAGTACTGTAGTATGTGTAGTATTGTAGTATAGTGTAGTACTGTAGTACTGTAGTACTGTAGTACTGTAGTATTGTAGTACTAGTACTGTAGTACTGTAGTACTGTAGTACTGTAGTACTGTAGTACTGTAGTACTGTACTGTAGTACTGTAGTACTGTAGTACTGTAGTATTGTAGTACTGTAGTACTGTAGTACTGTAGTATTGTAGTACTGTAGTACTGTAGTACTGTACTGTAGTACTGTAGTGTAGTACTGTAGTACATTGTAGTACTGTAGTACTGTAGTATTGTAGTACTGTAGTACTGTAGTACTGTAGTATTGTAGTACTGTAGTACTGTAGTACTGTAGTACTGTAGTACTGTAGTATTGTAGTATTGTAGTACTGTGTAGTATACTGTAGTACTGTAGTGTATTGTGTAGTAGTACTGTAGTACTGTAGTACTGTAGTACTGTAGTACTTGTAGTATTGTAGTACTGTAGTACTGTAGTACTGTAGTATTGTAGTACTTTGTAGTACTGTGTAGTAGTTGTAGTATTGTAGTACTGTAGTAGTTGTAGTATTGTAGTACTGTACGTGTAGTATTGTAGTATTGTAGTACTTGTAGTACTGTAGTACTGTGTACTGTATTGTAGT